AAGAGAGAGAGATTACCAGTCCATGTTCCTGTGTTGGTCCAGCCAAAGAGGAGTTCAGGATGCATCCGTCATTGTCTTCTTTCTTGTTTTCTTCTTCTTCTGCACTTCTCTTCTTCTTTTCTTCTACTTCTTCTTGCTTTATCTTGCCTCCATTTATACACAATCTTCCTCATGGGACAGATGTGTGGAATGTCAGGTAGGGGATCAAGGCACTTCATTGTTTTTGATAACCCTCATTAGCATGTGCGAATGTTTTTGGTAATTCTCATTAGCATGCATGAATGTCTCCTTGGGAGACAGGCTACAAAATAAGGCCACCCTGCCTCCACAAGAATACCTGATCTCATCAGTATTGTTTGAGGCATTTGTAGCCGCATCAGATCTCCCCTCTACAACATTCTATGAGTTTGCCATACAGGACTAGAAATTGGTCTTGTTTTTTCGCCAGACTGGGACTTCATAAAAATGACAAGAAATGTTTAAGGCAAAATTCACACATCAGCTAGCACAGTCCCACTGTCCCACACCCTTGACCCTCAGGTTTGCACCCTTGCTAGCTGCAAAGTCCCAGTCACCTGTAGTTTCTCAAGAAATCTCAACTGATCAGTTTTTATTGTTTATTGCAGGTCATGGTCTCTTAGTACTAATTGGACATGTTTATACATCTGTGGTTTTGATTTCCACTCTTTTACTATCATTCCAAATTGGAAAAGCCCTTAGTCAGAAAGTCTGACTGAAAAATAAACATTTGCACACTTCATATGGATACCAAACAGTCACCCTCTTCACATCTCTCAGTAATAGGAAACCAATACCATGGTTCTCTCTACTGTAAATCTCATGTTTTGATAGGTCTTTCTCTTTGGACCAGAATTTTATAACCAAGTTGGAATTTATTTCCAACTTATTTCAAATTTATTTCCAGGAATGTGACTGCCCTAACATGCACCTGAATGACTTCATATATCTGTGATGTAAAATCCTGCCACTGACTGTCCCTAAATGCTCTTAGGAAAAATTTGAAGAATCATAGAATTATAGAACAGTTTCGGTTGGAAAAGAGCTTCAAGATCATCGATTCTAACTTTTGTCTTACCTTTATTAACATCGCTAAACTACATCCCTCAGCACAACATCCACCTGTCTCTTAAACACTTCCAGGGATGGCGACTCAACTCCCTCCCTGGGCAGCCTGTTCCAATGGCTGACAACCCTTTCAGTAAAGAAATTCTTCCACATATCCAACCTGAACCTCCCTTGGTACAACTTAAGGCCCTTTCCCCTCATCCTATCACTCTCTACTATAGAGAATAGACCAACTCCTGCTCACTACAACCTCCCATCAGATAGTTGTAGAGAGCAATAACGTCTCCCCTCAATCTCCTTCAGTCTAAATAGCCCCAGATCCCTCAGCCTTTCCACGTACAACACGTGCTCCAAATCCTTTACACGTTCTTTGTACCCTCTCCAGCACCTCAATGTCCCTCTTGTAGTGAGGGGCCCAAAACTGGACACAGAATTCAAGGTGAGGTCTCACAAGTGCCGAGTACAGGGGCACAATCACCTCCCTACTCCTGCTGACAACACGATTGCTGACACAGGCCAGGATGCCGTTGGCCTTCTCGGCCACCTGGTCGCACTGCTGGGTCATGTTCAGCCAATTGTCCATCAACACGCCCAGGTCCCTCTGTCTGGCAGCATTCCAGCCACTCCTCCCCAGGCCTGTAGCGCTGCCGGGGGTTGTTGTGGCTGAAGTGCAGGAGCCGGCATTTGGCCTTGTTGAAATTCATGTAACTGGCCTTGGCCCAATTATTCAGCCTGTGTAGATCCCTCAGTAGAGCCTCTCTGTTATGACTTCCATGAGGTTGCTTCCTGGTGGCAAGGAGGTTGGATTAAAATAATCTCTAAGGTCCCTTCCAGTTTTGGCCATTCTATGATTCTATGAACAAACAAGCAAATAATTTCAGTGATTCACATTTTATATATAGGCACATATTACATATAGGGCTATAGGCACATTGCAGTGCAAGTTTCTTCATGCTCTAGCTTTTGAACTATGAATTAAAGATAATCAAAAGAGTAATTTCAGCAAATCCATTCCTCTGAGCTTCCTTATTTTTGCTGAGGGAACTATCCTACTCTTTACCTGCTGAAGACAGGCATTATGAATACCATGTCTACCCATGATCTTATCTAAAGTTTTCTCAATATTCTCAGAATTCTTTTTTCAAGACTGGATACATTCACCTGCCTTCAGATATCTAAAATGCAGACACCTGTTTTTGAGGTGTTTGTCTAGACTCTTTTCATGGTCAACGGCGAGGTCTGCTACGGGATATTTAGGATCATCCTCAGGCAGATGACATTAATAATGTGTTAAGTTGAACTGTTTCTCCCCTTTGACTATAAAGGGAGGGTAAAACAGTTGGCCCAGATACATGGCTTCTTGCTGTCAATGCCTACGTTAATATCTGATTATTATCATCCTACTTTGTGGCACGGTTGATGAGGTCATAATATTTTCCACATTTCTGTTATGACTGGGTTTTGGGACCTGGAGGAGCTGGGGAAAGTAGCAGAACATCAGAACCTTTATTTCAATTTTCTCATCAAGAAGGCAAGGGCTTTTTAGAAGGCAGATGAGAGATAACCGTATAGTTTTGATTGGGGAGATCCACCCTGCAAATGTAGTTTGTGGACCTTTGATTTTAACTAGTCCTCTACGTAGAGCTGCCCTATGTTTCAGATTAGAATCCTCTGCAGGCCTTTAACTACACAGACAGAAGAGCCACAGAATAAAGTCACAATGCTCAGGCAGAAGGAACAGCTAGAGAAGCCCTAGTGGAATGTCCAGGTGGAAACCATTCAAGAGTCATGTCCCTCAGTGGTCCACAGTGGTGCAAATACTATTTAATATCTTCATCAGCAACCCAGACCATGGGATTGAATGAACCCTCAGCAAGTTTGTGAATGACACCAAGCTGAGAGGTGCAGTTGCTTCAGGAGAGAGAAGGGATGCCATCCAGAGGGACCTTGGCACACTTGAGGAGCAAGTCCATGTGAATCCCATGAAGTTCAAGAGACCAAGTGCACCTGCACCTGGGCTGGGGCAATCCCAGCTACCAATACAAGTAGGGCGATGAATGAATTGAGGACAGCCTTAGGGAGAAGGACTTGGGAATACAGTGAGAGGACAAAGGGAAACAGTTTCAAACTGAAAGCGAATAGATTTAGACAAAAGGAACAAATTTTTTATGATAGGGGCGGTGAAACACTGGAACAGGTTGCCCCATCATTGAAAGGGTTCAGTGGGGCTGGACTAGATGATCTTTTGAGGTCTCTTCCAGCCCCTCACATTCTGTGATTCTGTGAAGTCAGGTTGGACAGGTCTTTGACCAACCTGCTCAAGTGACAGATGTCCCTGCTCATGGCAGGAGGGTTGTGCTAGATGATTTTCAAACCTCTCTTCCAATCCAAGCCTTTCTACGAATCTAAAGACGATTTGAAGGGCCTGTCTGAGCCAACAGGATGAGATCTCCCATGGAGGGCCCTGTCCCTCACCAGTAATTATAAAGGCTAAAGCCAGAGTTAGACATGAGCTGTGCACATGTTCTCACCTCCTGCAAAGCCTTCTTTCTTTGTCTGGTCTCTGTAGTTTATTTCCTTATTAAATTTGTATCCCTAAAGTTTGGCGGGATCACATCCAGGACCATGATTGGCTAAAAGTAGCTTATTAAAATAGATATGCAATTGCTTATAGGTCTTTCCTTATACTATTTTCCAGAAGCTAACAGGAGAACCAGAGAGAGGTTTTGTTGTATTTAAACAACAAGGAAAAAATAATTGACTCATGAAATTGCAAGTAATCAATACCCAACAGACTATTTTCCACTGGGAATATAAACACATTGAAATACTCAACGTTTGTGATGTGGCTTTTCCGGAAACATTAACCACAGCCTTCTGATGACTGGTGAGCTACCTGATTTTACTTCAGTCTTCTTTCTCTTCTTCCACATGTTATTGTTCTTCTGTCTCTACACAGTGTTTTGCTTTGTGAGAGACTCATCTGTCTGTGAAGTGAATGGATTATTGGAATAGAAACAAATTCCAAGACGCTCTTTAATCTTAAAAAGAACTGCTTCTCCCTAAGAGTGCCTTGGACAAAGGTAGTTTTCTGGATAATAATCCACAGTCTTTAGTACTTTTCTGTTATAATAGGAAGGGATTATTCTGTCCAGGGTTCACTCTCTGTGTGTCTGAATGAGTGGATAAAAAAAGCTAGCACATGCTCTCAGATTTGCCAGTTTTGGGGGACTTGTACTACTTTTGTTTCTCTGTAGTAAGCAGGTGGGACGGAAATGAAGACACACGCTGATGGTAGCAACCATGTGTGGCACTGTGGAGTGTATACAGGGTTATCTGTGCTCAGTCGGTGATTGCTGTCTAGAATGAGCCCCATCCACAGCACGACAGCAAGAGCAACTCATTGCCAAAAACCTGCTCTATCAACAAATCAGTCATTTCTGGGGTTTAAGGATCAGCCTTCCTTGCTTAGCAGCACGTGTTAGGGTAGCAGACCTGGGGTAGATAATGGGAGAGAAGACCACTTCAAAGACTGGGGAGCAGAGTACAATGCTCATCCTGAAGGAAATATAAAATATCCGACCTTCATAAAGAAGACATATCTTCCTTTCCGTCGACTAGAAGTGAGGTACTCTAGTTGGGAAAGGCTCTTCTTTCTTAGGAAAAGCTGTGTGAAGGGAAGAACCTTCCCTCCCTTCTCTAAACTATCTTTAGCACTAAAACCACCAAAACACATCAGTAAAATGTCACTGACTCTTTGGGATCTTGTCCTATTATAGAGATGCATAGGCAGATATTTAGTTTGCTATTTTTTTTTTATTTCTCTAGGTTAATTAGAAAACGGATATGTAATGATTTCTGCATTTAAAAAACCCTGAGGGACATGACCAGCTGGAACCACACAGTGGTGACCTATTTCCAATTTTTACCTTTCTCCGGCATCCCAGAGATCCAAGGCTCTCTCTTTTGTCTGGTATTGCTCATGTACCTCAGTATTTTGGTGGGAAACACTCTTATCTTTGTGATCACTATGGTAGATGCTGCCTTTTCCTCAAGAAATTGTCCTTCCTGGAGATTGGCTAAACTACAACCACGATCCCCAAGATGCTGGTGAACTTCCTCACCAAAAGCAAGGGCATATCCTTCCTGGGCTGTGCCAGACAGATGTACATCTTCTCCCTCTTAGGGATCACAGAATGCTGCCTGCTGGCTGCCATGGCCTATGACCGCTATGAGGCCATATGCCATCCCCTGCACTACACAACCATGATGAGTTGGAACACGTGCTTCCTGCTTTCAGCTGCGTCTTGGCTGGTTGGGGTCTTGGTGGCCTTAGGGCAGACGGTTTTCATCTTTACCCTTCCGTATTGCGGACTCAGCAAGAGTCAGCACTTCCTCTGTGATCTGCTGCCCCTGCTGAAGTTGGCTTGTGTGGACACCTACAAGAATGAAATCACCACCTACATAACAGCTGTTGTCTTCATCCTGGTCCCCTTCTTAGTTATAGTCGTATCGTATATCCAGATTCTCCACCCCATCTGCCATCAGCTGAGGACAAGAGAAAAACTTTCTCTACCTGCTCATCTCATCTGGTTGTGGTGACTCTGTTTTACGGATCTGGCATCGTGACCTACTTGAGACCCAAAGCTTTTTATTCAAGCAGCAGCAGCAAACTGCTTTCTCTCTCTTACACACTGATGTCTCCAATGATGAACCCCTTGATCTACAGTTTGAGGAATAAAGAGATGAAACAAGCCTTGCAAAGACTGATCACCAGAAGTATAAATATGCGACAATGTTTATGAATTGTATTAAATCAAATCTAGCAACAGCTTTGACATTCTGTGAATTACTGGAAGGGTGACATGACTTGCTATCACTTATCAAAAATTCGTATCTACCCTGCAGCTCTGAGTCAATCTTCTACATAATTTCTGTCTGCCTTGCCCCCTGCCTGGATCTGGCCTCTGATCCCACCCCACCGGAACTTACTCTCCAGCTAGTCCAGCCTGATGCACTAAAGTCCAGAGGAGCCTCTCCAAAGCAGTGTCTGGAGTTTCTTAATGGCCTGTTAACTAGCAGCTACTGACTTTCTCAGTCTTTGCCATTGTCTCAATTACCACCTGTCTCTGCATTTTGTTTATCCCTTCTCCCTTTTTTGTTTGTGTCTCTGCATTATTGTTTATCCCTTCTCCCTCTCTTGATCATTGCCTTTTGCCTTGAAAAGATAGCCCTAATGAAGAAGATGGTCTCACCTTCCACTTACCCTTGGAAGCATCGGATCATAATTTTGGGGTTCTGGCAGGCTGTGATGCAGAGGTACGGTTACGTGGGACAATTCAGACAGAAAAAAAAAAACCCCAGCTCTTGCTTGTTTATTTTCGTTTGAATTACAGAAGAGACAGGCAGTGATGCCCACCGGAGCCGCGATGTGACCTCCATACCCTGGGCTGCCCTCCCATAGCCAAATGTTCTGGGAAATGCCAAGCGAGCCTGATGCGTCCATGGAGGAGCTTCTGGAAGAGGCTCTAAAGATCGTCGCACCATCCCTGGACACGTGGGGGCAACCAGAAGGGTCTTAGCAATGGCCCTGTGTCTGGGGACCCTGGGGACCTGTCTTGACCCGCTTAGAGTCAAGGTAATTCGTTTTGATCCCAGAGGTGAAATTAAGACACAAATGAGGTCAGATGTCACAACAGCACTGCCTTTTATTGACTTTTATTGACTTTTATTGACCTGTGGAGAGCAACAGGAAAGAAAGATAAGGAAATGAGGAAGTAAAGCAGTAAAATGTTTAAGACAGTAAGAAGTATATCTACCACCACAGATCCAGCAACATCTCACAGGTCTGCCTGTTTTGATTTGATGGAGAAGAAATCCAAAGAGTAGTTGTTCAAGGTGGCATTATGCAGTGTCCCAAGAGCTGCTTTGCCTATCCTCCTCCTGTTTAGCGCATGTGTATTTGGTTCGTACGAGGTTCATCAGGAGCAATCTTCACCCCATCTAGCATTTCTGTTGGTGGAGCATGCATAGTTGTCTGGAGGGCCCATTTTTGCAGAGGTAGTATGACTGCACACCTTTGGGGTTTTGCAGATATAGTATGACTTGCCAACTTGCACGCAGTTGGGCTTTTGTACTTGCAAGACGACTGCCTTGTCGGAGGTTGAACTGGGCCCCGTAGTTGTTGTTTAGGGCTCATCAGCAGTTGAGTTGAGTCCCGTGGCTTTTCAGTGGTCCAAGCTTGCAGATAGTAGCCTTGAAGTTTCTTCGCAGGGAATTTCAGCAAGGTTGAGACAAACATTTAACACAATCCCTTATAGGACCCCCTTAGTTCTCTTTCCTATCCCCTCGTGCTCAACAGTTCTCTACTCCCTACCTCCAACTCACTAGACTTCCCTTGCTTGTCTCTGCAGATTTCACTCTTTAGTTCTTGCAACACTTTTGATTCTGTAGTTGTAACTGTTTGTCACATTGACCCAATTATTTTCCTGCATCTTTCTTCCCTAGGAATCAAAGTGACAGAGCCCTGTAATCTGCTGCTCTTCTGAGCTTTTTAGTATCGAGTTAAACCGACACCTGATGATGTAACCTGATGTTGCTGCCTGCTCTGTGTTTAGTTGGCTTGGAAATTCCATGGCATGGAGAGGTCAAAGCATTGAGATGTGGATTTATTGCTTACTTCTCCCAAGAAATATCATTCAAGGTTTTGATGGGATCCTGTCCTTGGAGCCTTGCACAACTCAGAACTAGCGTCATTGTACCAAGAGTTTTCGGCTGATTTGGTAGCAAAGATAAAGGGGCCCTTGTGATGACCTGACACGGCTCCCCAAAGCAAAAATGCTGAGGAATTTTTTTATCCTGGGAGGATAATTTTCTGCTGCATGATCTGTGTTGTGTGTAGTTCAAAGAGACAGAGATATTTAGGAACCTGAGGATGTGGTCAGGCATCTGAGAGTGAGTCAGTCCCAGATTTAGTCAAATCACACATGGATTTCCATTCACGGAAGAGCTGTTGGAACCTCAGCAGTCATCTCCAGCATGTTTTTTTCTTTAGAGCCTACTAATGACAGTAGAAAAATCCATTTGAACAGCTGCATCACATCATTGACATCAACCTTGTCATAAGTCTCTCTCTGGAGGTGTCAGTTTTTCTGTAGTGATTCAAGGGAGCTAAAATACTAGCTCAGTTTTAGCTTATGCCCATGCTGTTCTCTTAGCCAGTGGCTTATGCTTATGCTCATTCTTCCAATCTGCATGTCATGTCATATGTCCTTTCACATGGTGTCCCTTCTTAAAGCAGAGATAGATGATCTTCAGCCCAAATCCCACCACCTTAACTTTTCTCTGATTCCCTGCCTTTGTGATTCTAAATGTCTCCCAAGTGAAAAAACAGAGGACAATGTTCTGTAGTTTAAAAGGTTGACCGGAGAAGTTGAGGCTGCCCCCTTCCTGGAAGTGTTCAAGGCCAGGCTGGATGGGGTTTTGAGCACCCTGGCCTAGTGGAAGGCATCCCTGCCCATGTACTGGAACTAGAGAAAGGTTTAGCATATTAGTTATCAAATGCAAAAGCACGTGCAGAATATTTCTGTCTTATTGAGGCAAGCTGCACAATTCTGCCAGCTCACATCTGTAATCATAGCTGAGTGCACAAGTAAAGCAAAATAAAAATTCTTGACACAGTGCA